ATTGTATACATATATTGTACAATTAGAATATTTTCTGAAGTCTTACAAATATAATTCATCTATTATTATATTTCGTTACGAACCTTTCGAATAATCCTATAATTGAATCGAATAACATAAAATATTGATATGTATTTTTATTAATTTTAAATAATTTATAGAAATTTTAAAGTCTTCATTATATTACTTCCTTTTTAATAAGACGAATTATTAACGAATTATTAAAACATGTACATGTTTTGCTCAAATTTTAAACCAATAATAATAATATGATCACTTGGTGTAATTTTTCTGAAAATTCGAAATGTAAAAACATTCGAAAAGAAACATGAAGAACATGTTGCAGAGAGTTTTTAAGTATTTATATTATAGATAGTATTGGCCTTTTTTAAAAAATGTTTAAACTGATTTTTAAAATGTACTGAAATATAGAACATTTTAAAATTGAAATTGTAGATTCACAAAAAAATAGAGAGGACTCAAAATTTACACAAAAGCGAAATGATTATCATCAAACCATTAATAAAGAAAAATTACAAAGACATAGTGAACACACTATTCCACATTTCATTAATTTATTACGAATATTTTAAAATGTTCAAATGACCAATAATTGAAAATTCAGTCCTTATATTTAATTAATTATTAATTCAATTATGTTATGATTATAAAATGGACACACATATGTTATATTTCTAATTTATTTCTTTAAATAAAATTTATAATTTTTTATTGTCATAAGTCGCTGTTATGGTACATAATTAATTTTATGCGATATATGTTATTTTTAATCATCACTCTGTAGAGTATTTTACAATGATTTTTCAATTTTGCTGCGAATGTGAAACGGATAATTAGTCCTATCATTTCGAGATTTTGTAATGAATCACGTTCAATAAATACAATCGTAAAGTATTTAATTTTCGAAAAAACAATTACATTTTTACATTCACTGGACAAGTAAGCGTTTTGTGAGCTACTTTACTATATAATAAGTAAATACTTTTTAATTCGTGTGAATGCAAAAATTTAAATTAATAATATGTTAAGTCACTTTCATACCCATGAACAAATGTAACAAAATTTATCTTTTGATTTGAATAAAATATCCATTATACCAAATAAGTTATAAATAGCTACAATCATTTGACCCTGTTTAAATTATCATACTTTTTTAACGGAAAAAACGACTGAGATTGCAATTTTTGTTTTAAGTATTCAAGAAGTTATCGAATTTTGTATTAATATAAAGTGTACTCAACATTTCCTGTATTCGTGAAAAGGTTAAATTTGAGTCCGTATTTTTGCGTTTTAACGAACAGACAAAAATTTTATTTATCACGTTCGCTTCCAAAAGTCAATGGAAAATTCGATTGTCACAGAGAATCTTGTTTTATTTGTAAAATAAAACATAGTTTTAAACGACGCACACCATCTGTACTCTATATTATTGCTTAAATTATATGCCAGAATTTAATTTTCATACGATTTAATTACTAATTTAATTTAAATTTTAATTCTAAGTTTTAATACATTAAACAAACATTCTGATAGCGAACGTGTTAAATAATTAATGTGTTCATCAGAAACATGGCGACGAGTAAAATGCTTGAATTAATTCGAGGATAGTCATGAATAAAAAGTAAATGAAAAGGGGGTGGTGGGGTGGGAGAAGAAAACGAATAGGGAATGAGTAAAATAAAAGAGAGCAGCGCACGTTTCCATATTCGCATGAGGAAAAGCTTTTCTTCTCGGGTAGTTTGGTTTTTCCATATTATCTAAACACGATTTCAATAAATAAGCTACCTAGGGAGCGATTTCTTTTTGGGGAAAAAGAGCCGGCCGCTCCTTACGTGGCGAGTCTGCGAGTACGAACGGGTCAAAGGTGATTCCATACGGTTTTCTTTTTTTATAGAACATTACAAAGAAATAAGGAATTTCTCACAAGGCCCAGGAACGTACCCTTGATTCCGTTCGTCGAGTCGCCACCGCGTCATCTATTCGTGTAACTAACCTAGTAATACAGTCTGCGATAGCGTCCTAAAGATTAATTCCATTAACAATCAATAATAATATATATTTATATATATTACACGCAGTCACACGCGTTCAGAGGCAAAATACAATACCCTGTCACTTCATTATAGGCACCCATCTATTTTAAACTGCTGCTTTTCCTACGGAATGTTGAGGTTATGGCGCGTACAATAAATAATGGAAAGTTCATACTAAACCGTGAAAGAAACTGAATACTCCTGTATTTCAGAGATAAGTGATGCTATTGATTAGTAATCATGTAGGTTGTCTTCCAAAACCTCAATAATCATGAGTACTTATTAAAAATAAAATATAAAACCAATATTTTATCTTCTGCTTTATGACTTGTATAAAAGTTTTTTGTCATAAAATTATAGTTAAAATCTTGATAAAAAATTTTGTAGGCCACTGCAAGCCAGCGAAATGGCTGACTTATAAAAATAATTGAAACGACAAATCAGTTATTTACAGTACTTTCCTGTTTGATTTCTTACCATATAACAATAATTTTGTATAAATGCTATATGATAGTATACTAATGAAAATTATCATTTCATAAAATGAAAATCGGATAAAGAATTTCAGAGTATTTAAAAAAAAAAATTATATGAAAAGTTTCTACTTTAAAAAGAAACATGAGGAATCTCAAGACTATAAAACTTAAGAAATATAAATATTTATAAATTCCAAACAAAATTCGGACTCGTTATGATACTTCAACGATTGACTTAAGTTAGTTTTTATTTTTTCATTTTAGCATTAATTGATCTTGAAAGCAAGATTGGTTTTTGAAAACAAAATCAAAGTTATTTATGACCAATTTTAAGGTGATTAAACTGTAGATGTTTATATACATATTTATGACACACAATCTGATGTTTTTTATCGTTACGCACGGCAAAACTTGATACCGAAAGACACATTTGAAACATAAACTGATATTGAATTTGACATTTATATTCGATTATAATGAAGAAAGTAAAAAACTGAATTTATTTCTTAAATACAGTGTAAACCGCTCGAATGATTGGATAAGAAGGAACAAGAGTTTTAAAATATTAAGTCGTAATTAAATCAATTAAAATTAAGTTTTTTACATTCTGTACATAGAGTAAATTGTTAATTCTTCTAATTTAAATCTAACCTAATCAAATATCCAATCTCATTAATACTAGGAAGGTTAAGAAACCCATTAGTTGTAAATTATGGGAAGTATTATTTTATCGTTACTAAATTATTTATCATTACTTACATTTTGACGATTAGTACCGAAGAAGTGACTTTGGTTCAACATACATGTTTAAGAGAATATTATAAATAATTATACATATATGAGGTTTCGTCTTCCTACGAATAAAGATACTTTTATGCAAAATATTCCAAAATTATACTTGATGTACCTGGCATACAGAAGAACTTTTTAAATATGCACTCATGAATTGAAACCACTTGCACTAACCTAAAAGGTCATAGAAGACACTGATCCTTGGATACCGAACGTATTTTCAAAATTTTTAAATATTTATACAATTATTCTAGATGTATTTTTTGCAATACATGAAAGTCTTATTAAGATACTTGAGTATACGTTCCGTAATTTTAGAGCCATGATTGATCTGACCATCGTCGTTCATGGTCGATAAAACCAGGGAGGAGATTTCAGTGATAATGTTGCTACATATTTGACTAAAGTAAAAACTAGTAAAGTAAAAAATATTTTATATAAATATGTAGTGCCCATAATGGAGTAGTATCAGGATACCATATTTACGCACGCAAAACAAAAAATGAAACCAGAAAAATGCACACAAATACTTTAAGCTCGTACACGAACACGCAGTTTAAGCCGAGACTCTCAATACTATCTCACTCTCATTCCTATCAGAAAATAGACTTCTGTGTGAATTATAACGCTCGACGCGTAAAGTAATCGCGTTTCAAGTGTGTATACCGTGTAAAATGGATTTAGAGATCCCATTGTTTCTAAACGTTTGTTTCTGAACAAGTTCACTAAAAAATATATATACGCTATCGCATCTTGTTCTCCTGAAATTGTATACCGATTCATTTTGTCCAAAAAAGTTTCTTTTTTTTCTCTCTCTTTGTATGTGTACATATGTGTGTGTATGTGTGTGTGTGCGTTTTTTTATTTGTGGGTGGGGAGGTGGGAGCAATCGACATTCACATGCATGTCGTGACTCTCTTCGTATAAATAAGAGTAAAAATTCGTCAGGTGAACAGAGCAGCTTGTATCAATCGCAACGCGAACATCGACATTAACGCGACGGTGATAACTGCGTGTACGTTGCGAGCACGCACGCACGCACACATTATTCATACACGCAGGCACGCATGCACGCACGCACGCTAAATTAGGCGGCGTAATTAGCACAGCGAGCGAGAGAGTGTTGGCGCGGCGTGAGCTCTACTGCGCAAGCGCGTAAGAGGGTTACATCTTTTCGACGCGTACCTATCATCGTTCTTTTTTTCTCATATTTTATTCAGAAATATTCTCTTTACAAACGAAATTCAAATTCATAGTCGTTCGTTAAATTCGATTTCTTTTCTCTTCTTGTTTATTTTAGGAAAATATTTCCACGAGGGTGCGCCGATTTGTAACTCTCCGCGCATCTATCGCGATCTATGACAGCGCTTGAAGCACGATAGCTATCCGATTGCGCAACGATTTAGGCCGATCGTGCGCAACGTAATTTATCTTCCATCGCTAAACGATCGATCGATCTCTATGTCACACCAATATCAATTTCATCCCTTAACGAAACGAAAAGAAAAATTTTCATCGTACGACAAAAATTTAGCGATGGAACGAATCGTGAAAATCATGATATCGTGCAATACTTGCCTGAAGAAGGAATCAGTCGGGGGCAAGTGTGAAAAATGGAATCTAAACGAAAGTTCTAACATACCAGCAAGAAAAATGGATTTAGAGATCCCATTGTTTCTAAACGTTTGTTTCTGAACAAGTTCACTAAAAAATATATATACGCTATCGCATCTTGTTCTCCTGAAATTGTATACCGATTCATTTTGTCCAAAAAAGTTTCTTTTTTTTCTCTCTCTTTGTATGTGTACATATGTGTGTGTATGTGTGTGTGTGCGTTTTTTTATTTGTGGGTGGGGAGGTGGGAGCAATCGACATTCACATGCATGTCGTGACTCTCTTCGTATAAATAAGAGTAAAAATTCGTCAGGTGAACAGAGCAGCTTGTATCAATCGCAACGCGAACATCGACATTAACGCGACGGTGATAACTGCGTGTACGTTGCGAGCACGCACGCACGCACACATTATTCATACACGCAGGCACGCATGCACGCACGCACGCTAAATTAGGCGGCGTAATTAGCACAGCGAGCGAGAGAGTGTTGGCGCGGCGTGAGCTCTACTGCGCAAGCGCGTAAGAGGGTTACATCTTTTCGACGCGTACCTATCATCGTTCTTTTTTTCTCATATTTTATTCAGAAATATTCTCTTTACAAACGAAATTCAAATTCATAGTCGTTCGTTAAATTCGATTTCTTTTCTCTTCTTGTTTATTTTAGGAAAATATTTCCACGAGGGTGCGCCGATTTGTAACTCTCCGCGCATCTATCGCGATCTATGACAGCGCTTGAAGCACGATAGCTATCCGATTGCGCAACGATTTAGGCCGATCGTGCGCAACGTAATTTATCTTCCATCGCTAAACGATCGATCGATCTCTATGTCACACCAATATCAATTTCATCCCTTAACGAAACGAAAAGAAAAATTTTCATCGTACGACAAAAATTTAGCGATGGAACGAATCGTGAAAATCATGATATCGTGCAATACTTGCCTGAAGAAGGAATCAGTCGGGGGCAAGTGTGAAAAATGGAATCTAAACGAAAGTTCTAACATACCAGCAAGACTGTCTTCCTGCTAGTTCGTCCCGTATAATTAATTGTTTTTTTTTTTTCTTAGTTTTTGTTTCCAACGAATTGCATTGATCGAAAAGGCAAACAAGCAGGAGACATAAGGCTAGCCAGCTTTTGTTCGTTGCGATCAATCGAGGCGCGTGCTTCACGTGGTGCCGCTTAGTGGGTTCCTGACATCTCGACCGTACGTTCCACCAGCGTATTTGGCAGTCTGATCTCAGGTTCTCACAGATGTGGAGGAGGCAGTCTTGATCGGCGAGCCTAAACGCGGCTCAATACTTGCTGGCCTCGACTAACAGACGACTATCGTGTCGTCTTCGAGGCGTGGTGACTTTCTCACCTTGACGCATCTTCCAGCGATTCGAATGCCGATGATGATGCGTCGTATGAAGGATCTCCCTTGCACTGTCGACCTGCGACAGGGAGTTCTTCTTCGCGGCCCTCGTCACGGCTGATGGCTTTCTTGATACAACATAAGGATCAATATGTGGATCCATACCACCCATGTCAGCATTCACCAGGTTGTTGTGATGATTGATGTCGGCATGGGGATTGTACTTGATGAAATTGAAGCACTCCTGTCGCCGAGGATTCTTCATCGGTTTGCCAAACTTGTTGAAGCCTAGATACCGAGAACTGTCTACCACGCTTCTGTAGGTCAGATACGAGCCGTTGTAGTCCTCGTAGAACTGACACATGGGACCCTTTTGCTTTTTTGGCTGAAAAAATAAAAAACAATTGGTTATTCCCTTATTTATTATTTTTCATAAGTAATTATTTTAAGCTTTTTAGTACCAAACTATAATATAACGTTTGCAACATTTGCGAAATACAATTGGCATTTATTTATTCTACTTTTATTTCGTAATATGTTTATTTTTGAATTTTATAAGTATCATTTTTATTATTATTTTTATGATAATTTCTTCAAACTTTACTAAATTACGAAATAAGAGGCGAATAAATGATATAGCAACTGTTGCTATAAATGATGTTCCAGTGTTAGGTATTAAATGGGTTAAAACTAAAAGTTAAAATAGTATTAAAAGTTGAAAGGGTACTAAAAGTCTCCACACATATTTTTTCGCAATATGATTGGCAGTTTGAAACCACTCGCTAGTACTTAGATGATAATTTTTTTAATCATTAACACTTACAATTTAGATATTTTTAAATTTTCAAATTTTGGACCTAGGAATTTAAAAACGTGAAAATTTTGAAATTTAAGAATAGCAAATTCAGCAACTTGAAAATTTGAAAACACTGTAGTTTGAAAATTTCCGAAATTTCAGATTTTGAAATTTGGGAATTGCAAATTTAGAAAATTTCTAATATTTAAGAATTTGCAAACTTGAATGATCGAAAATTTAAAAACTTATAAATTTAAAAATTGAATAAGTTATGAACTTCAAAATTTGCAGATAAAAATATTGAACGTTATATTTTTTATTTCAGAATAACTGATTCACAAGGCAATACTGAATATTCTAGCATTACATTCAACATACAATTCGTAATGTAAAGTGGAGGGCGGGATATTCTACAAACAATTTTCTTATGTAGCACTTAAACGTGTGGACTAGGCGGATTCAAGTATCTTCCTAGAAGCGGTAAATGGTAATGTTAATCTTATAAGTATGTATCAATGTTCGAGTAGCAATTTTTGTGTTAATAATGCAATGAGGTCTGCGAAACTCACGTCACCGTTGACGTAAATATATTTCATAAATTGTTTATACTACTTTTTATTAAATTTTAAGTATTTTAATATTTGCTAAATTATATTGTTTTACTGTGCCACGAATACAGTTTTTAATAGTTTGGAACGAAACATGTAAAAAATCATTTACATTTATGTAAGAAAACCATTCAGAAATCAGACTAAAAGATTTTGTGTACTATGTATTGAAAAAAATAGGTTGTAGTTTGCTACTTGTATCCAATCGAATATTTATGTACAACAAACCACTTGTGTAAAATAAAATTATTTAATTTTTGTTGGAGTTTTGAATTTACGCGCTTTTAAAACTCTTAAATGAAGAAATTCGCGGTCCTTCGTTTTCTGTTTTTGGTTGCCGTGTAGCGTTTGTATGTTTGGAGAATCGTTAGTGACTTCACGTTTTACGATGCCCGGCGTCTTCTTGTAATAATATATTTTGCGTGTTTTAATAAACATAACTGTGTTCACTATTAAAAATCTATCAGGTTATGGGCCCAGGGGACTCAGAGACTTGGGTAACCGGTGAAAAATAATTAAATGTGTAGAAATAGTGATCAGCAGTAAAATAAGATAAACTGCGTGCGTTGTGTGTGTAAAAAGAAATTGAAAATGAATATCGGAAGGGTTGAACAAATTCAAAAATTAAATTCTACGAACTATGATACCTGGAAAATACAAATGAGAAGTATTCTTCGCTACAACGAATTATGGGGGTACGTAGATGGAAGCATTCCAAGGCCACGCGAAAATTACGGAGAATGGACCATAAAGGACGAAAAGGCTCTCGATTCAATCATTCTTAGTGTACAACCCGATCAATATAATTATGTTAAGAAGTCGGAAACTTCGGCAGATGCATGGCAGGTATTAAAACAAAAATATGAATCTAAAAGTCCTATGCGACAATGTGCTCTATTCAAACAGCTATATTGTTTAAAGAAAGTATCAAGTCAAAGTATGACGCAGTTCATAAACGAATTCATGAACATTGCGGAGCAGCTTGAAGAATGTGAGCTAAAATTGCCCGAAAATTTATTGTCTATTTGGTTGTTAAACTCTTTACCTCATGAATATGAAACTTTAATTATAGCAATTGAATCAAGAGAGCAAATGCCATCATTAGAAGAATTGAAAAGCAAGATACTTGAAGAAGAATCAAGACAAACGGAAAATATGAAGCAGCAGGAAGACGGTGCAGAAGGGGCCCTATTGTCCAGTAAAGGTAAAAGAAGGGGCCCTATTGTCCAGTAAAAATAAGCCGTACAAGAAAAATATAATACAGAAAAATAATACACAAAATGAACAAGGAAGGAGATTTAACATAAAATGTTTTACATGTGGCAAACCGGGACATATTGCAAAGAATTGCAGAACAAAACCAAAAGTTGAAATATTTTGTGAAAATCCGAGAATCATGCACTGGAAAATGGCAAAACATGTTTTAAGATATTTGCGAGGAACAATTAATTATTGTATTAAGTAGGAAAAGACGAATGAACCATTACAAGCATATGTAGATTCTGATTGGGGTGGAAACCTCGACGATAGGCATTCGTGTTCCGGATTTGTTACGTTTTTAGCTGGTGCTCCAATAAGCTGGGCGACCAGAAAGCAAAAATGCGTCGCACTTTCCACAGTGGAATCGGAATATATATCACTTTCCGAAGTAACGAAAGAAATTGTATATTTGCGAGAATTATTGAAACATATGAAACAATCAAAGTTTGTATTTAAAGAAACGCGAATATTTTGTGATAATCAGAGTGCAATCTCATTGTGTATGAATAATGTTTATCATGCTAGAAGTAAACACATTGATATAAGATTTCATTTTTCAAGAGAGGCTCAGGAAAAAGGTTATATTGAAGTATGTTATAAGCCTACGAGTGACATGGCAGCAGATATATTAACGAAATCACTGCCAAGGTTAAAGCATGTAAAGTGCGTAGAATTGTTAAAATTATCAAATTAGAAATTTACGCGCTTTTAAAACTGTTTTGTAAAACAATGTATATTGTTAATTTGGATTGCGTAGCATTGGCCCGCGAATTAGGGGGAGTGTTGGAGTTTTGAATTTACGCGCTTTTAAAACTCTTAAATGAAGAAATTCGCGGTCCTTCGTTTTCTGTTTTTGGTTGCCGTGCAGCGTTTGTATGTTTGGAGAATCGTTAGTGACTTCACGTTTTTACGATGCCCGGCGTCTTCTTGTATTAATTTATTTTGCGTATTTTTAATAAAATAAACTGTGTTCACTATTAAAAATCCATCAATTTTTTATTTAATTACAGTATAATAAATATAGAAATAAATAATATTGAGATTTTCAACAGTTTTTTGTATATAGCTCTGTTGATTACTGAGTATTGAAGATATGATTTGTACTCAAGATTTTCAAACAAAAAAGAATAATATTCGATGAATTGTAATTATTAACCAACATTAGCATCAAATTATCTTAATTATTCGCATCAAAAAGTAACGCCATATTGTACTAGTGTACAATAATGTGAAGTTAATATAAGAAATTTTTGCAATTATTGCAAGAACTAACAATGAGTACAATATCTAGGGGAAGAAATAAAGGCAATAATATTGGATCATTGGTGATGTTTCATCTACCGAAAACAAAATATTACAATGTATTGCAGACATATTAACATTAAAAAGGTCCACCTTTACGAATTGTATAAAAAGCATTTGAAAATATCGCTGAAGATAAACAGCAATTTTCTATAATTCAAAGAAATAGTTTTATGTTATTTAATATTTAGTGTATACGTTTTGCAAAAGAATGTAATTTTGGTTAGAAGATGTAATTCTTGGTATGATCGTTAATAGAGTTATTCATAAATAAGATAATTATAATTCCGAATACTGTTGATGTGTATATTTATTCTAAAAAAAAAAAAATGTTCGGAAAGCTTTTTTAAATCACTGTATATAGATTATTGTCGGACCATTGATATGTTGATATGATGATACGAAGGACTGGAATTCTTAGATGTCGACTCTTAGATATATCAGCGAAAATTTCAGTGTATTACTCAGTGAACTAGTTTTCCACCGGTTTTCAACGACTTTGACTACAAAATCAATGAAATATGCTAATGCCGCACTGTGAAGCCATTTTGAAACTGCAAGCAACTACCATGTGACTTTTACAACTTACTTTCTCAATTTCAACTGTCGGATGCAGTTCATTTTACAAAAGTATTTTCCAAAGTATTAGTGTTCAAGGAAAAAGAACAAATCTGGATTGTATTTCGTCTAAGTCTCTTAATGTACGAAATTGTTATAAAGTGAAAGATCATTTGTTACATTTTTTATACTGATTAGCGCGTATCGATATTTCAAAATTTTCATAACAATAGTAAACAAATGGGAGTACTAAATAACAATAGAATTGTCTACTGGCAATGAAGTTAGGGTTTGTGGTTATACAAATGAGTGAAATTATTATATTATTTGTATAGTACCTACGTAATATAAAGCAAAGTTCTCATGGAAGTAAATATATAGGTTAACCTTTTCAAACCTGATGTATCTGAACAATTAAAAGAACACGTTTAATTACTTATACCACACCCAGATCAACAATAATAAATTTCAAGCTAAAGCATTATTGTAGTTTACTAATGCCATTTCTTTTATAATGTGTCGCAAATATACGTTTTTGAATTCAAAATAAAATAAATGTCATGTACCTTATTATACACAGAAAGATTAAAAATGTATTTGAGTATACCTATACTTTCAAATTTATATTATCTTCAAAATATACTTCATCAAAGACATATTAGTCTAACACTTTGTTGTACAACTTTCTTTGCTTAACATTAAATAAATTTTGAAGTTATTTATTTACTTCTACAGTATTAAACCAAATAAAGACAATCAAAATGTTATGCTTATTTTTGCCTTTACAAAATTGTGCTTATTTTGTATTTATCAATTCTTAATAGTGTAAATCATAAGTAGGATAATTAATATAAAATTAAACAAATTCATTATAAAATTTAACGGTATTGCAAATATCATTTAGATTTATATTTGAACTATGAGTGCGTCATTAGTATATTCGATATTACACAGCAAGGAGATAAAATTAAATCACTCTAATTTAATAAATTTTCTACCTACCCGTCAGTAAAAGCGATAATATGATTGATAAATTTGAATGCTCGAACTGCACAGTCCAGTGCACTTTACTGACGGTTATAAATTTACTCGCTCAATTACGATAATGAAATATGTTTACTAATTAGTAGACAAGTAATTACCAGGCCGACAAGTTTCCACCGCTTGTTGAAGCAAATGTATCGTTGACTCTTCTCCGCATAGATGTACAACTTCCTACTGAAATCTTCGGATTGCGTTGTAAGTTTTTCTGAAACATAAAATTTAACAAATAAATTACAAGAGTTGTTCAACAGTATCAAATTTTTGTTAATGTATTATAGCTTCTTTTATGTAATCAAATTCTATGAAGCTTCTAAAACAACAACTTAATATATGTATCAGAAACCATTCTTTTCTGTTCATTGTTTACTGGTACTATAAACCAGCTATGTTGAATGAAGAATATTAAATAAAGATTTATATAAGCATTTACACTGAACGTAAAATTTAAAACTGATATGTTCAAAGTATTATCTTGCGGTGTTTTCATGTCATCAAATTGTGCAGAACAATCTACATTTCGAAAATCGCCATTTGGTATGCAACAACGTAATACTTTCCAAGAAAACTATTTTTAAAATCGCCAATCATTTAAAAACTTCCAAGATATCATTCCCATATAAAAATTAAATTGACACAAAATATACCTACATACCTTCTAAATTTAAAACAATTTCGAATAATCAATGTTCACTGTTTTCGTTTATTCATATTATTTTGGTGTAAAATTTTAGCGAATAGTCTTGAAATGGATAATGCACATATCGTGTTCAAATTTTCATTGCAACATTTGCAAGAATACTTTTCTTCCCTGTAATGACCATACGATGTATAAAATCTCGACTGACACATTCCTGGAAGTTCGATATGTCCTCTGCTCGAAATGGAGAGCCTAACACCTGTCACTTGAAATATCCCATCCATAACTGAAACACCGTTGTACCTTAAGAATTTTTATTGAATATAGAATAAGCAAGGTATACAACTTCGTGTTTACACCCTGACTCAACGAATGAGCAACCCATCTCATGTACAAAGCTGAGTACTAGTATCGAGAATTATACCTATGTTGAATTGGAAATAATATAGAATGTTCGCCTTTTGTTGTACTACAGAAGTTCAAAAAGCTTGAAGAAAATATGAAATTGATATATTTCACATCAAGAATTTCATACGCTGTATTTTGACAGTTTATTTTAATTCATTAACAAATATTTTGTTATAAGAATCTAGAATTCTTAAAATCCGACCTTATCCATCAATTTTTCTGAGATACATATTCTATATTTTTCAGCGATAAACATGGCTTGTCGGATGAAACATTCTTATGTTCTTTAAAGCTGTTAAATACTTATTTGATACTTAAACCGACTTCAACAATTAAACATTATTTTTTAATAGCATCTGTTGGAAGAAAAATATGTAAACTTTGAAGGGTTTATAAAAAAAAAATCAAACTCTTTTTATGAGTTGTATAATGATGTTATGAATTCAATTTAACGAAATTGTCAGAATATTGAATTTTATAATGGTACTTTGCTTCGAAACACAATGTATCCATATGCAAGATCTACATAATGCTCCACCATTTTCGAAAGAGACTCATCCCTAACTTTATGCAAATTGTTATTTGCAAATCACACGATTCTGAAGTAACAGAAGAGAGAAATATCGGCATGAATGTCAGTATAATGCAGTTAACTACTGTATGCATAGATATGTATAGTTTTATCGCTCACTTTATGAATTTTTTATGAGTGACGGATTTGAACACAACCGTGCACATCTAGCTTTCTATAAAATAATCTACATTTTGCAAAAATTCGGAAATTTACAAAGTTAGTGATATTAAATCAAGGGGTCTTCTGGAACAACAAACATTTCAAATTGCACGTCTTCGAGATTGCAATCTTTGAACCTTTGTCCGACGGTATGGCGAGAAATCATGGTGGTCCACATTTAGCAGCACTCCCTCTATTACAAATCTGATCTTTAACCGCGTAAATAAAATAATCCCGCTAGAGAGTACAGTGTTCTCAGCAGGCTGGTACCATAAAGACATTCCGTCCTTCCCAATGGCAAAGCTTGGAATTGTGCACCTGTAAAGGCAGCCTCCTTTTTTTCTACCTTTCGTTATCCGGAACAAAGGACGCCTGCTTCTCCGTCGGCAGAATTTCGTAATAGCTGGTGCGAAAGAAAAGGGGAGAGACATGCCGTTGCACCGAGAGACGACGCAACGTGCACACTTCGGGGTCGACAGGACCCGCTAAGTGGCAAAGTACACACCGGTCGGTCTGTGCCTCCTTCATTAGCACCAACTAGCCACGGCGGCAGGCTTAGCCAACCTTTTCTTCCTTTCCCAATGCCGAAGAAGTGGCTGGAAGAGAGTCTACGAACATCGATGTAGGTACAACTTGCGCCATAAATCTCGACGAGGTCTCTTCTCGGAAATATGCCAGCTCGCATACCGAAGCACAAAACGGTTTACCTCCTGTATCCTGCGGTTTGTCCCTGATAACCGATACTTTCGGATAATTTTATAAACCAACCTCGAATTTTCCTGCCAACTCAGTTCAACGGTGGATCAAACGCCGTACAAGTACTATACACCGCTTGTGGATTTCCAATTTTCAGGATCTAAATTCTTATGGCCTTTAAATTTTCAAATTATCAAATTGTGTAACCTTTGAATTTTTTAATTTTAAGATTTCCGAATTTCTGAGTTTGCAAATATACAAATTTCCAATTTTTTGGATAGGTAATTAATTCTAAATCCGAAATTCCCTAATTCGAAGTTCACAATTCTACAAGTTCTTAAATACCCAACTTCTAAAATTCTGAAGCTTTTAAATTTCTAATCTTAAATTTCATAAATCTAAAATTTGAAAATTTCCAATCTAAATTTTCGAATTTACAGTTCTAATTCTTAAGTACCCTAATTCTTAAATTTCCCTAGTCCAAAATTTTCAAGTTTAACACTCTTTTAATTAATAAATTGAGAAACTGTCAAACACCGCAATATTCAAATTTCACAAATTTTGAAATTCATATATTCCTAACTTCCTGATCACAAAAATTCGGCCATTTAGACGGGTTCCGTAAATCTAGCGTTTAATTCCATCTGACATTAAACACGAAATAATTCATTTCCGTGAGCATTAAGAAAGTGGAATTTTTTAATTGATAGATACTTGACGGTGAAGGAAAAAAGCACAACGTCATGATCTTGGGTTTTTCTGCTTTCTTCGTTTGCGGGTCACACGAGAATGAGTATAAGCGTGGTGCGTATAGAAAGGGAAGGAGGTAAGTCTGCAGGGTGGCCCATTTGCTGAAACCTCGTTAAATTCAAGTGGTTCTCGTCGGGTGCCTTCACAACATCGAAATCAAGAATGTCCCCGAACTGCCTCGTAAAGTCTCTCTTTCTTCCTCCTGGTCCATCTCTTTTTCTTTCTTTTATTTCCCTTTTTACATTTCTTTCGTTTTTTTTCTCACCGCCTCCTAACAGTCGTCACGGACGAGAAAAAGCAAGAGTGGACTTAATTTGACGCTGCTCTCTGACAAACCTTTCATGGTCTATACACAGCGCCAATTAATTGCGCCACTTTCCTTAATTAATTGAATTCACCTTTCAGCGAATGTCTATCGCAGTGACATTCCTTTCAGTCGACGAAGCAATTTGTTCCTCTATCTGCTATTAGATCGGCAACTGAATTTCCTGACCTTTCGGTGTGATTTACTTCAGAACTACCACACGAATTTTATTGCATACGAATTGAAAAATTATTATAAATATGACATAAGATTGTCCATACGAATGATACCTTATTCGATCAAAAATTGATATTTCGGAAATTTTAATGAATGATATCCAACAAAAAATATTATATGAAAGTTGCAAATTAAATTGCCAACCTAATACATATATACCTTAATAAGCTAAACTTGATCGCTTTATGACACCAATTAGTAAACCATGAATAATACTTAGCATCTTATTATATTTTACTATTTTTAAACGAAGAATTGAAAGAAAACGAGAAATATTGATCAACAATTTGTAAATTTAAAAGGTTTAAAATGACTCATAAATAAAAGGAAGGGAGGGAAATTTAGAGACTTACAAAATTACAATTTAGAAAATTGTTAATCTCACATTACTAATTTTTATATATAATAAATTAATAATTAGTAATTATCCAATAATTAATAATTAATACAAATTATTATTTATATTGAAATTATTTTTTGAAATTTTTCAAACTTTTTAAATTTTCGAATAACCGAATATTCAAAATTTTCAAATTAGTAAATTTTTGAATGACCAAATTACCATATTATCAAATGATCAAATTATCAGATTACCATATTATCAAATTACTATATCATCAAATTACCAAATTACCAAATTACCAAATCTCGAAATTATCATATTGCCAAATGAATATTTATATTTATAACTTTCCAAATTGGAAAATTTACTGATCACTAACCAGCGGTGAAGTTCCTTTGCCTAGGGAAGCTTATCGCATACATAAGTGTATACTTAGTACTTTCAAAGGCAGTAATTTTCATGCATTCATGCAATCATTTTCATTAAACCTTCAGTTTCACATTAATGTACCACAAATTCTATTCTCCAGTACTCTTATGTCATCAAATCTTATTAAACTTTATATTCAATATGCCAGTATCTGCGAATAATTTTGTTCAAGGTAGAATTGTTAATTTTATAAAGGAAATATTGATAAAACATTTAAACATTTACTAAACCTTAAGCTTCAAGGAAAATTGCAATAAGCGTTACTTTGTGACGTTTTTATGTCATCAAATCTTATATGCAGCATCCTAATATAGCGAAAGGAATGGACTCTCATTAATTCTTTGCTGCAATTGATAATCAACAGTATTAAACAAATAATATTAACGGAGATTCTATGTATTATATTTATCAGTGATAAACTTTAATCTACAATCTACCGTAAGCGCCACTTTACGATGTTTTTATATCACTAAATTCTACCTGTAACCAGTCACTTCGCATAATATCAAGAACATTCTCGAATGGTCCATGGAATAATTTTCATCAAACCTTAAGCTTCAAGGTGATATGCCGTAAGTGGCAATTTAGCGTTACTTTTGTATCATCGTATCAAACTTTCAATGTTTCGAGATCCGCGATTCGATATGCGGCAACCCAATATAAACGTA